ATATTTTCGTCTTTCAATAGATTCGATTAATCCATCAAAAAAACCAATAAGGACTGAAGGAAAATTGTTATAATATTTATCTAATGAGGAGGGGTTTTCTAATTTATCACAGTTTTTTTCAATATCTTTATGTGAATTACATATCATATTTCCCAACATTTCTCCAAATTGATGGCATTCTTCTACTTTTACAAGTTTTTTATCTGTAGGTGAATAATAATCAAACTTTTTAATTTTCATGGCAATTGCTACAAGCAATGGGCTAGATAAATCAAACTCTGTATCTGTTGAAGACGTGAAAGATAGTCCTGGGGTTTCTAATAATTTTATAATATGCCATAATACTTCTTCTTTTTTATTTTTATTTTGAGAATGCGAGAGGTTAAATAACCAAGATGAGAAAAGCCTTAAAATATGGTTAGTATCTTCTATATGCAATTGATTATCGACACATGTTTGAGACTTTCCAGGTCCCACACGCTTATGAAGATGTCTACTATGTTTTTCGAAGCATTCTGTATAGATATATCTAACATGTCTATCATTAATAGTAAGTCTCGAAATAATATTTAGAACTCTATGAAATACTGAACATGATTTCAAACCAAGACACAGAACTTGAACATCTCTCTTGCATATATTCCAGCAATGTTCTATACAATCACTACCCTGGCTAAAGAAACTTTTATATTCATTACAAAGTAAACACTTTTTTTTATAAACTAAACTTTTGGTATAACGTCTTAACGTTTTAGTACCCGATGAGTGAAGTTGCCCATGATCGAAGTTGAAATGATTAGAACAAACTCCCAACTCAGTTAAATTTAAAGATTCTTCTGAAGTCAACTCAATTTCCCATGTTCCAACTAATTGCGCCAAAGATACTAGAGAATTTACTAAATTGCAACACCTAATTACTCTACTTAAATTATCAACGATAACGCAAGGTGACAGTTTTTTTGTTGTATTTTCTAGAATTTTATCATAATTCATGTTATCATCATCATCATCATCATTCTCAGATAATGTATCTTCAATATCATTATCTTCATCTTGCATTACTTGATCTTCTAATAAATTTTTTGCCCTAGTTGCAGCCAGAAAATCATAAGTAAACACGAATTCCTGATCATTTAAATCGGTACTTCAACTTCCTTCTTCCGGACTTTCGTACGCAGAATAATAATCAGAATAGTCTTCCATTGTAGCAAGTTACTTATTTTTTATTAGTCAATGTGTATTTTGTAGGTAATGTTTTATTTTTAATGCTTGATGAAAGGGTCAAAGGGTCTTATTTATAGATTATGAATTCGCTACTTGAAACATTTTAACAAAGATATTTTAGAAAGTATTTTAGAAGCAATTCAAAAGAAAATGTTTTGAAAGAAGAATTTGAACAAGGCATTTTAGACAAGGTATTTTAGACAATGCACAAATGTTTCAGAAATATTTGAAAGAAGTTTTTGGGCAAATGTTTTAAATATACGTTTAATACTTATTGAACAAAGATTCAAACATGTTATCAATTTTTATTTTTATTTTTCATTATGTGTTATATATCAAATTTATCTTTCAAACACGTACTATATTATTATTATGATTTATTAAGTTTTGTTATGATTTTATTAGATTTTGTTTTTCAAAATATTAAAGCACACAATTGTAATTAATAATTAAATTAATGCGAATAAAAAAAAAAATAATACACATAAAAAAAATTAAATTATAATAAAAAAATATGTATATATAAATTATGATAAATAAATAATACAATGTAGAATTTTTTATTTCCAATCAAAAAATAATAATTTATATATCTTTGATTCACAAAATATTTTTACTCCTCTAAACAGTCATTTAAACAAAGCATATATTTTGTCTTTATGCGCAATACACAGGAGCGAATCCACCTTTCGCAAATGTCTTCAAATTTATCATAAAGAATCTATGATAATTGATATTTGTTTTTAATCAGCATTATTTTAAATCATTATAATTGCAAACTTATATTTTACTATAAGAAAATAAATAATAAAATGATTAATTACCTTTAAACATTTTACTATTGTTACCCATATCATGCCTTTTATAGAATTCGAAAGCTTTCATTTTTTTACAGCAAAAATCAACTATATATGCTCTATTAGCATTCTCTACTAATTTTTGTAATATTCAAAAGCCTTGTGTTTATTCTCTTCAACGCTGATTTCCAGAAAAACTACAACCAATATTACATATTTGGTTAAAGTAACTTGAATTAAGAGACAAAATAAAAATGACTAGTAACAAAAAGAAGTTAATATGAATTAATTATTTAATGAAACAATAACTTTATAAGAATACTATCCTTTCATAATTATGTCCAAAGCTTAGTAAGGCTTTTCTGATTACTATAGACAGAACCCGACGTGAATCGGCTAATCGTGGTGTAGAGGATTCTTGGTATTGAACAATTGATCCTGAGGAGATCTATTACAAGTAATAACAAAATCCCAGTGAAAGAGTTTTAAAAAGAACGTTAGTCTAGTAAAATTGCCAATTTGAAGTTAAATTCACACCGAAAGTTTGGTGAGTTAGGGATTTTCAAGTTCTTAATATAAGTAAGATTCAGAAATATTACCAAACTTTAAGCCTGACATTATTTCCCGTTTACATATAAATCGGGTTTCAAACTTATACCATTTAATAGAGCAAACCCCGTAGAATAGCGTTATTTAGAGAATAATTTTAATATCTTTCATGCGTCATGTGGTTCAATTATAAGCGAATAAAATCATTTTAAAATTTTCATAGTAAATTTTAAAAATTGATCTACATTTTTACTATGATCATGCGCTCACATATTTGGATAGGTGACATATTCCCTGACTGTTAAAACGAAAAATAGCTTTTGTGGCAATTTTTTATTGGTGAAACGTTACAATCTCAAAAAGTACTCTAAAGTGTATAAATAAGTTACCCTAGTAAAATTTCGAGTTATTGCAGAATTATTGAATATGGCTACATGTAGCCGTGGCTACAAATAAATAATTCCATAAAATTAATAAAAATGTTTATGAACAAAAATTTCACTTTTTAATTTCAACTTTAAGCAACTTTAGTATTGTTAATAATTCCTTGATTTTATTTTATTTTTTTGTGATGTTTTCCATTTTTTGAATTCTCAACTATAGTCCCATTATGAGGTAATGATTTTATTTTTCTTTTTCTAGATTCCTCGGGATAATTTATATGTTTTGGTGAATGTGAAAGAATCTTTGATGGCAACGGAGAATGTGTGCCGTTAGAATTACCATTTGGTAATTTTTGTGCCGTAGATATACGAGTACTGGAGACAGATTCGATGCAAGCTCCAAAAATATCCGTAAAACAAGTTTTAGGTTCAGAAATAATTGGAGTATCGGATTCCTGTAATAAATGGATTATTTTCAAGATGTTTGATAAATAATAGATATGAATATACAACGACATGCAAATGATTTATCAGTATTAATTTTGATTGTAAAAATATTTGCTTTTTAAATGCTGCTATAGATTCACCATTCAATTCTTTAAAAATGTTTAAATATATGGCACAGTTTGATCTCCTAAATGCAACAATTCTCTAAATGTAAGCTTAGACGCTAGTCCAAATATACGCTTCATCTTTTACACTACATACATGTCAAAATTTTGATTATTACGAGTTGCATTTAGGGAAGTCCGACTGTATTAGACTTGTACCGGAAAACGAGCTTGAGTATCGTAATCTAAATAGTGGAACCGATTACTCATAACTCTGGTCAAATTTGCAGATCATTTGGCCCAGATCTTTTCTTTTCAAATCTGGCCAAACGATCTGCAAATTGGCCAGAATTAGTAATCAGTTCTACTATTTGAATTATAGCCCATATGTATAACGGTCCAGGACCCAATTTTCTCAGTACATACACCATATGTCTTTAATATATTTTTTTTTTTAACTTTGTTATTTTGAATAAAGTAACTCAAATATATATATATATACATATATATATATTTAAAAAAAAAAAAACTTAATTGAAGGTTAAGATTTATACTGACAAATACATCGCTACCTTATTAAAACATAACAGTTTTAACGTACCTTTTCTACAAAATTCTCACCAATTATTAACAGATCATAATTTTGATTGAGGTATATTATATATGATTGCAATGCATTTGACGGTGAGCTAACTTCATCAAATTTTCTGGGGAAATAAGCTATTGCCTTGATTATATCTTTTATAGTGTGAACCATTACTGGTATAGCAGTTTGTGGCTCAAAAACAAAAAGGCGACATTCTGGATAAAAAAAAACCAATGATCCAACGTTAACAATAACTAGGATTATATATATAATTTATGCTACGGATGATGCTGAAATTAAACCTATTTAACGTACGATTTTTAAATTTTTGGAGTACATTTTTTAGGCTTTTCTTTTATAATAAAAGGATATAGGCGGATTTTGGTAGGGTTTATGTTTCTAAATTCAGATTTCAGCATCATCCGATTTCAGCACCATCCAAGGCAATAATAACTAATTAGTACCTTGCAACTTTTTGCAATTGCTCGCAACGATAAACCGGGAACTTTTAGGATCTATGGCTAAATGATGTACTTCGGTTTTATGACTCCACCAAACT